ACGTAAAGAACACCTTGATCTTTCATTTCTGATACTATGTCAAGTTCTGACATATCATCAAACAATCTGTCCCGGTCTCTGACGATTCCTTTACTTGTGTTCAAAGTTTTGTGAGCAGAGACCGAGACCTGAATGCCAACGAACAATTTCTATTCATCATCAAGTTGGTTGATTGTGGTTTTTCGCGCATTCAACTAGCAGCGCACCTGAACGGAGACGTTTAATGTTCTTTACATCCCCAGCAATACCTTGAATACCCTTAGATACTGCAAAAGGGTTCAACTTTAATGGACTCTTGTCTAGAGTCTCGATTACAAGGAAACGTGGCCAATACTCAATCGATTTAGGCAGTCTGTGGTCATCATGAACAGGGTCATTGTCAAGAGGACGTTTGGTTTTTTTGGTTGGTGTTTCGTAAGCCATGGTTATTGTATTAGATTTCATCATCCGAGCTCCCCACCCACCACGGAGTATCACAAGGACGATGCTAAAAACAAGCGGATCTCCGTCTTGCAGCACCAAGGATACCCGGATGACATACTCCAGCAGAAAAATTAAAATATTAATGAATCCACCAGATTGGCCCATGAGCCACCGCCTTCTGGGCTTACGACTCTAGGCAAAAACATACATGAAATTGTTCAGTTGAAATTCAAAAATTTTAAGTTAAAAAAATTGCCAAGACTAAAAAATATCATATAAGAATTCTCAAATTTTGTGCAACATTTTATAGTTGTAGCACAGGGCTTGGCGTGACCAGCCGATTGATTGAACCGGGCCAGTTCAACCACCCGTCTAGGTGAAGTAAGGGGCGAAGTGGTGTGTTGGGCAAAGGAACACTGTTCCTGGAACCAGTGCCCTCAACCACCAGCCTCCCTTCCTCCACCAACACAGGGGCGCAACCCACGGCAAACGGGTTGGTGGACAAAATATGCCCCCGGGTCCACAACGGGGGTGAAGGGCGCTTAGCGTGACCCAGCACCCACCACGAGGAGGTGGCCCTTCATGGGTGCCTATCACCAGTAGACGTTAGGGCAACGCATCTTATATATCACCAGTAGACCTTAGGGCAATACATCTTAAATATCACCAGTAGACCTTAGGGCAACACATCATATTTATCACCAGTAGACCTTAGGGCAATGCATCTTATATATCACCCATAGACCTGAGGGCAACACATCATACATATTACCAGTAGACCGTAGGGCAAAACATCTTATATATCACCAGTAGACCTTAGGGCAATGCATCTTATATATCACCAGGAGACCTTAGGGCAACACATCTTGTATATCACCAGTAGGCCTTAGGGCAACACATCTTATATATCACCAGTAGACCTTAGGGCAACACATCTTATATATCAACAGTAGACCTGTGTGCAACACGTCATATATATCATCAGTTGACTTTTGGTCAACACATCTTATGTATCACCAGTAGACCTGTAGGCAACACATCTTACATATCACCAGTAGACCTTAGGGCAACACATCCTATATATCACCAGGAGACCTTAGGGCAACACATCTTATATATCACCAGTAGACCTGTAGGCAACACATCTTACATATCACCAGTAGACCTTAGGGCAACACATCCTATATATCACCAGGAGACCTTAGGGCAACACATCTTATATATCACCAGTAGACCTTAGGGCAACGCATCTTATATATCACCAGGAGACCTTAGGGCAACACATCTTATATATCACCAGTAGACCTTAGGGCAACGCATCTTATATATCACCAGGAGACCTTAAGGCAACGTATCTTATATATCACCAGTAGACCTTAGGGCAACACATCTTATATATCACCAGTAGACCTTAGGGCAACACATCGTATATATCACCAGTAGACCTTAGGGCAACACATCTTATTTATCACCAGTAGACCTTAGGGCAACACATCTTATATATCACCAGGAGACCTTAGGGCAACTCATCATATATATCACCAGTAGACCTTAGGGCAACACATCTTATATATCACCAGGAGACCTTAGGGCAACTCATCATATATATCACCAGTAGACCTTAGGGCAACACATCATATATATCACCAGTAGACATTAGGGCAACACATCATACAATCATTATACCTGTGGTCAACACATCTTACATATCACCAGTAGACCTTAGGGCAACACATCTTATATATCACCAGTAGACCTTAGGACAACACATCTTATATATCACCCGTAGAACTTAGGGCAACACATTATACAGTCAGTAGACCTGTGGTCAACACATCTTATATATCGCCAGTAGACCTTAGGGCAACACATCTTATGTATCACCAGTAGACCTTAGGGCAACAGATCTTATGTATCACCAGTAGACCTTAGGGCAACGCATCTTATGTATCACCAGTAGACCTTAGGGCAATGCATCTTACATATCACCCATAGACCTGAGGGCAACACATCAGATATATTACCAGTAGACCTTAGGCAACACATGATATATATCACCAGTAGACCTTAGGGCAAGACATCATACAATCAGTAGACCTGTGGTCAACACATCTTATATGTCCCTAGTAGACCTAAGGGCAACGCATCTTATATATCACCAGTAGACCTTAGGGCAATGCATCTTGTATATCACCCATAGACCTGAGGGCAACACATCATACAATCAGTAGACCTGTGGGCAACACATCACTTGTATTATCAGTACACCATTGGTTTACACATTAGGGGGTGTCACGATACACCAATCTCACGATACGATACGTATCACGATTTTAAGGTCACGATACGATAGGTATCGCGATACATAATTTTCGCGCCTTTTCATAGCATTACCTTACCGGCAACGTACGCGCTCGCTGATTGGTCCATCAAAATAGTCTAGCCAATCACAAAAGCTGTTAGTTTCCAACCTATTTTTTAAGTAAAGCTAGCTACATCTATTTATCGGAGCGATCTCGTATAATTTTACTATCAACACTTTGAAGGAGATGGATATAGCATAAAAATTTGAATCGATAAAGTTTTAAAATAGGAATCGATACACGCAAGCATGTATCGCGTATCGTATCGTCAGTAAAAAATGTATCGATGCATCGATACATTCGCGTATCGCGACACCCCTATTACACATCATATATAGTGTATATACCAAACTCTCTGTAGTTCACTTGACTACTGTCGAATGTAACGAAACTGTGTATCCCTAAAGAGACTGTTTCACTAATCAGTTTGTAATCTAGTTATATCATATGGATAAGTTGGGTTTGGTTGTCAAACTGTGCACTCAGCTGTAGTACTGTGCACTGAGCTGTAATATTAAATCATACATACTAAAGGGTTAAGATTTCTTCCTTGCAGTCTGTATTGACTGATGTCAGTTATGATTCAACACTTCAAATGATATGTGTCACCTAGATAGATAAAAATTACAAAAATGACAAATCATGTTTGTATTCTACAGTGTCAGTACATACTGTATGTTTCCTAGATTTGTGGGTTTCATTGAGTAGTCAATGCCAAAATTGTTTACATTTCAAACCTCAAGCTAAACTTATGTGCTCTAAATGTAATTTCTGTTTATCAAATACACAACAAAACTCTCAAATCTGAAAACATACCATGTCTTTTTTCTAACTAGATAACTAACCCTTAGCCTTTAGCACTGCTAGAACTTGGCTGACATACTGCCGACATATGTAATCAACTGGTTCCAATTGCATCATGCATGACATGTAGGAGATTTGGAGAAAAATCTCTGAGCCAATTGTATGCAGAAGTTTGGTTTAGAAGTTAAGTGAATCAGATATGTTCCTTTTTTTTTTACATATTTTCAGTTCGGACCTTTGTTATACAAAAACCTAATGCTGCCATTTTTGTCAATCAAAATGTTGTTTTAATTAAGATGTCTTTTTTGTTCAATTACTTTCTTGTTGCTTTGATTATTTTATCATTGCCGTAATAATTTCTCTGAGTACATACCAAAACATGTGTATGTTGCTGCATATTAATATCGTCAATGTTTTGTTTCATCATTATTTCACTTGTTTGATAAACACTAAGCAATAAAGTTAACCAGTATCTATCTGGACATCCTCCCACCTTTCCCTTTCTCTGTGGTATTCAGTCTGTATCTGCTTAATGAAGCGCTTACTACTACTAGAGTTGATGGGCGGAGGGGTAGCCTAGTGGTTTAAGCGTTCGCTTGTCATAGCTAAAAACTAAACTCACTCACTACTAGTGCTGACCCTCATTTCACTCATAGACAGTGGCAGTCACACCCATTCAATTTTCAGCCATGTTACCAGATTAAAGTTTCCTGAATACTCAAGGCTTCATCTTTATTGAACTATTTCTATTCTACGTTATAGCAAACTTAATTTAATGACTATAGATTGTTATATTGTATATTGCATTGATTAGAAACTAACATATACTACTCACACTTTGCTAAGGATCACAAAAATTCCCAACTATACTTACACATAGATTTATAATTTGAAAATGTATACATTTAAAACTGGATAAATAATAATATAGTAACCCTTCTTTAGGCAAACAGCTACTTTTGTCTAACCTTATGCACTTGATACATGAGTAACCATAAAAATGGTTTTAATGGCACCAATCAACCATTTTGCAAATCATGGAACGAGTCATTTACAAACAAACAACACCTGTCAATAGCAGGTATGGGATCCACAAGATGAAATGACATACTGAAACCTAGGATCCATGCTTACAATAAGCTTAGATATTTAAACCAAATGTGATCCCACATTATAGTTTTCTGTTGAATCAATGATTTAATTCATAGCAAAGCGTGAATAGTATATTTAGGCCACAAGTCCTCATAATGATAACAAATTAGCTAAATCTTAAAATGGCAAATGTTTACTTGTCCTAATAAAACCTTAAGTTGGGGAGTTGGGTAAAGACTATAGGACTAGAAGCTGAGTGATGATACTCACTGTACCTTGATGTTTTAACATACTTTTGAAAACTTTGTTATATTTCAGAAACGGAGACCATTCAGTCATTTCTACAGATTTCCAAGCACGAATGCTGTTATGTTCAGCTGAGAACAAAATGATGAACAAGCAGAAAATACAGCAGCAAAGAACAAGGAAGAGATGGCACACATTTTAAGAATGAAATTAACTTAATAAATATTCAGATCATTTCTGAGGGATGTTACATTTGGGAATTCACTTTCCCAGTATAGTACAGATACTAGTACTTTGCTGGTAGAGGGTGGAGTGAATCCCTTTGTGTGATTTGAACCCACCCTTTAAGAGTGAAACACCTTATCACAGAACAACATTGTCAGCAATTTAACCTGACAAATGTTAGTCAAGGTCTCGATCAGAGAAGTGTAAATGCCACAATTACAATTTTTGCAAAGTTATGCAAATAAGAATGTCAAAACTATTTGGTTTAATAAATAGTAATTATTAAACTTACAATTTTTTCTTGTTCCTATCATTGGTTCGCATTGGGGTGGAATGTGGCTCCATTTTCCATGGTGGAGTCTCCGAAGCTGATTTGGAAAAAATAGGGGCGTGGGGTGGTAGCACTTGCGGATCTAGTGCGGTGATGGGCTGTGTTTAGATGGTATTCAGACCACACATCAGGCAAATATCAGTGTAAGAGCCCAAGTTTATTCAGGAGTCGTCCAGTATGCCTCAGTGTATGATAAGAAAACGGGAATAGTCCCGACTGGCTCAAAATGGGCTTTGGTTAGGTGGTATTTAGACCAGACATTTGGCAAATATCCGTGTAAGAGCCCCAGTTTATTCAGGAGTCGTCTGGTATGCCTCAATGTACGACAAGAGAACGAGAATAGCCCCGACTGGCTCACAATGGGCTCTGTTTAGATGGTAGTCAGACCAGACATCAGGCAAATATCCGTGTCGGAGCCCTAGTTTATTCAGGAGTCGTCTGGTATGCCTAAGTGTATGATGGGAGAACCGGAATACTCCCGACTGGCTGAAAATGGGCTGTATTTAGATGGTATTCATACCAGACATCAGGCAAATATCCATGTCGGAGCCCCAGTTTATTCAGGAGTCGTCTGGTATGCCTCAGCGTATGATAAGAATACTGGAATAGTCCTGAATGGCTCACAATGGGCTCTGTTTAGATGGTAGTCAGACCAGACATCAGGCAAATATCCGTGTCGGAGCCCCAGTTTATTCAGGAGTCGTCTGGTATGCCTAAGTGTATGATGGGAGAACCGGAATACTCCCGACTGGCTGAAAATGGGCTGTATTTAGATGGTATTCATACCAGACATCAGGCAAATATCCATGTCGGAGCCCCAGTCTATTCAGGAGTCGTCTGGTATGCCTCAGTGCGTGATAAGAATACTGGAATAGTCCTGAATGGCTCAAAATGGGCTGCGTTTAAATGGTATTCAGACCAGACATCAGGCAAATATCAGTGTCGGAGCCCTAGTTTATTCAGGAGTCGTCCAATATGCCTCAGTGTATGATAGAACGAGAATAGTCCCGACTGGCTCAAAATGGGCTGTATTAAATGGTATTTAGACCTGAAATTAGGCAAATATCCGTGTCGGAGCCCCAGTTTATTCAGGAGTCGTCTGGTATGCCTCATTGTACGACAAGAAAACGAGAATAGTCCCGACTGGCTCAAAATGGGCTCTGTTTAGATGTTATTCAGACCAGACAACATGCAAATATCCGTGTCGGAGCCCCAGTTTATTCAGGAGTCGTCTGGTATGCCTCAGTGTATGATAAGAATACGGGAATAGTCCTGACTGGCTCAAAATAGGCTGTGTTTAAATGGCATTCAGACCAGACATTTGGCAAATATCAGTGTCGGAGCCCCCAGTTTATTCAGGAGTCGTCTGGTATGCCTCAGTGTATAATAAGAATACGGGAATAGTCCCGACTGGTTCAAAATAGGCTGTGTTTAGATGGTATTCAGACCAGACAACAGGCAAATATCCGTGTCGGAGCCCCAGTTTATTCAGGAGTCGTCTGGTATGCCTCAGTGTATGATAAGAATACGAGAAAGTCCCGACTGGCTCAAAATGGGCTCTGTTTAGATGGTATTCAGACCAGACATCAGGCAAATATCAGTGTCGGAGCCCAAGTTTATTCAGGAGTCGCCTGGTATGCCTCAGTGTATGATAAGAATACGGGAATAATCCCGATTGGCTGAAAAAAGTGGCTGTGTTTAAATGGTTTTCAGACCAGACATTTGGAAAATCACAGTGTCGGAGCCCCCAGTTTATTCAGGAGTCGTCTGGTTTGCCTCAGTGTATGATAAGAATACGGGAATAGTCCCGACTGGCTCAAAATAGGCTGTGTTGAGATGGTTTTCAGACCAGACATTTGGAAAATCACAGTGTCGGAGCCCCCAGTTTATTCAGGAGTCGTCTGGTTTGCCTCAGTGTATGATAAGAGAACGAGAATAGTCCCGACTGGCTCAAAATGGGCTGTGGTTAGATGGTATGCAACCTTAGCTCATCTCTTCATTGTGATCAGTCATTAGAATTAGTTTCAACAAATCCATATTTGATGACGAAAGTTAATGATGTTGTTACTTTATCTCGTTAAAAAGACGTTTTTCATATCTGGACTTTGCAATCCAGTTTATTAATTTTACTAAAAAGGTAAAAAAAGAATGTTTATATCAACTGCAGTTATATCCTGTGTCTCCCCGATGTTTTAACTTCGGTCCGCATTAGTCGCAACAATCATTTTACATCTACTCACGCCTCGAATTGAAGTGTATTTGGCAGGAAATGGATACGTTCATTGTATACATATTTGTTTTCGCTAAAAGTAATATTTCTTGCAGTTGGACTATTACATGTCAACGAAGTGTTTTCGCGGTGGAATAAGCGAGATCGCGCGAAACCTCATCGGTGACAGGTCAAATTGTTCCTTGCATAAATCCTATCCATCAAAACACCATAGTGCGTGCTCTCGCATAACCTCAGTTATGATTATAGATATTTTACATTTATAGAGCAAAGCCTGCAATTAAAACGAAACAATATATTTCTTATGGAAACACAAAAATAATTTCAGATACTAGATTTATTTCGATCACTCCATTAGAATTCATCGGGTGGTAATATTGGATAAATTTTAACTAAATCACCGGTAGATCACGGGGAAAAGTGTACACAGCTGATTGCCATTTCCGACGGTGTATACGAGGCAAATGCACACGCTAATCCTAATCCCTACACATAATACAATGCCTAGCAAAACCAAATTAGAACTAAAAAGATAAATAAAAGTGTCTTATAATTTTTAATTGAAAATTTGACGTCTTTACTGACAAAATCGTCTTCGTTCACGGGAATCGATACGATGTCGTTTTCTTACCACCCCCACCCCACCCCCTCTATTTCCTATAGAGGTTTTCAGTGTTTGAGTATGGGAATATTTGATATTTAGTTGTTGGTTAATCTTAACATATCCTTAAAACTTAATCCTTTGCAAACCTCGAATGGTAAACAACGGACACTAATTAATATGAAGCAAGGGCACATCGGCGCTTGAGTGGGAAACAATAATTGCAAGTTATGCCAAATGATAAATGTCTGTTACAGCATAATATTTTTAGAAATATTACAAGTAATCATAATCTCAGTATTAATTCTAACTAGCCTGATTTGTTTGACTGCATCATATTTGAGAAAATTAAGCACAAAACTATGAATTGATTGTACGTGCGATGTTAAAGATCGGAAACAAGAAAGTCAGTTTCATGCACACAGATATGAAATATAATTTCCTCGGCGCGCAAGACATAAACAACCAAAGGGCGACATATATATCAAATAAGCAGCCATGGAAATGTATACACGTATATAGTATTAAACAGCAACCATTGGGCGACATATATATATGTATATTACATAAGCGACCATTGGGCGACATATATATACGACCTTTGGGCGACAGTCGCCTAAAGGTCGCATATAAACATGTACGCCGTACACTTTACCTTTGGGCGACACGGTATGGGCGACATCAAAAATATATTCTCTGTTTGTATATACGTACAAGGTTTTATCCACTTTTAATGTTTAATTATCAAATTAAAGTGTATATAACCAAAGAAATATAAAAAATCAATGTACGTTTGTAATATATGGCAGTGTCGCCCAAAGGTCGCAGCTTATAGTACTGTCGCCCAAAGGTCGGATTTGCCCTTATATATATATATATATATATATATATATATATATATATATATATATATATATATATATATATATGTATATAAATATATTCATTACAGATCATTAAAATTGTTGTTGTATTCAATACAATGAACTGTAACAGTTGCTATCTTCAATACCATGAACTGAAACAGTGGTTATCTTGTATTCAATCAACAGGAATGACGTTTAAACTGAAATTTGTATGTCTGATAATAGTATGAGGAGGTTAAACATTTTTGTGGATTCAGTGAAATAGGGTTGAAATTGGTATTATAAAAACCAAGAATTGCACAACAGTTGTCTTATGTCAATCCTACAGCAATACATTCAGTGAGTCAAGTACACTCTCAGCAGCTCTATGGAGGTGGTCTGTACATAATGTACATAATCGAGCCTGGACCAGACAATCCAGTGATCAACAGCATGAGCGTCATTCTACACCATGTGCCATGTGTCAACCAGCGAGCCTGACCACTCGATCCCGTTAGTCGACTCTTATGACAAGCATGGGTTACTGAAGGGTAACCCAGAGGTACAATACATTAAGAAACAAGAGAGATATACAGATTTCATTGTTTATTAGCTCCGTTTCGAATGAGTAGACATCAGGATAGGAGCTCTCCCAAATGCCTACTTTACATCTGTTGTCTTATTACCCTTCATCATCATCCACCTGTCCTTCACTCTCTTCATCAGATGATATGTCTTCATCTTCAGTCATGCCTTCGACCCAAGACTTATATTGGTACAATTTTGAAATCACTTCATGATACATATTATTTGTGTCTTTTACTTGTTTCAGTATTCCTTGTGTCTTTGGACCACACTGCATATGGTACAGATAAGTAATAAATTGGGCATACGTCTCTTTAAACGTGCTCCACATCAATTTGTTCAGTTTGGCTTGAATCATGTCTTCGTTTAAACCTCTTTTTATGTACAGCTGTCGTTTCTCATCCAAACAGTCTTTATTCAGCTCACGCGTACGTGAATACATTTGTCTTATACCTTGCTCTTCCAGATCAGCCATCTTACTTTTCCTGTTGTGTGTGACATTGCTTAATGATTCAACATCATCGTCCTCATTTCCCATTTCAGGACATTGTTTATCATGTAAATGTCTTTGTAAGTTATGGTTAGTGCTAAACACTTGACCACAATAGTCACAGTCCACCAGAGGACGTGGTCTCTTCACAGGTGAGAAGTTGTCTTCCACCCACTGCCTTTTCACTTGGGGTATCCCAGGAGGA